GCTTACAGTTTTTCGGTGAATGGCGCTGGAGGGCTTCCAGCCTCACCCTCCTTCCGAAAATTTCAACATTTTATGAAAGCGGGACCGCGTGTAATCGATATTATCTACAGTCGAATGCCTATTTCTCATACCCTCTGCTATTCTCCTGCGTGTTATGGCGCGTCACCTATCTTGCCAAATGCGTTCTAGGCCATTCATACAGTAAAATCGAGTATTTTCTGAAATAATTTGTTTTTAATCTCTTCGCTCTCGTGGAATGACAGGACGGTAAAATAATTCTCATACATGAGTAAACGTAATTGTTAATTTAAACACAGCAGATTTTTCACGTCATTCAATGTAAGGTAAAATGTTGAACTCGGTCTTTGTTTAGGAACGATTATTCATGAGGTATTTTATAAATTACTAGCGTGTAATTTAATTGCAAGACCTTTGTCTCACCTCACTATTCTGACATTTAAACGGGCTTCTTTGTGACTGCCTTCAGAAACTACACTCCAGAAAAGTGACTACTTCGAGCATACACATTTTTCCCATTGATTTTCAACGACCTAATGATGTTGAATATATTTTATAGTAACTATACAGGCAATTTCTTTATCCTATACTTATTTGGGAAAATATGTCCAGGAATAAATTCTATTCTACAAAAAAATTTGCTCGAAGAAAGGACATTTTCCGATAATCGAAATGCAAAACACATGCTACGTTGATATACATTTGTGCAAAGTGAGGTTTTTGTAGACGGTCGAAAAGAACATTATTAAAAAAAACCAGCCCCCTGTCGTTGCTGATGTATCTTGATAGTCGGCTGATTGATTATCAACATTCCAATATTACATAAGTTATCTTATGAAATGAAACAAAAAAAAACATTTCAAATATTCAAATGTCATTTTACGAGATAATACGCCTACTGTATGTTACTTTTCTTTTGCTCACATCTTTAGCACGTTCGTTTGAAGTGAAGAGATTGGTTACTGACTTGTCGGCACAGAATACTGTGCTCCGTCATCATGCATTTTCTTACTGGGTGTTTGGGGATTATTAAAAATATGGCGACGCATTACATTTAAGTAAGCGGGATCCAGTGTATGCACTCTGATCAGAAGATGCTGCTACGACTATTTTCGTCTCATTCGTTCATGATAAAGAGCTTTATGTGTCAGTCGGACGCCAATACTGTTGTAACGGTGACAGTTTTTGGTGTCACCATCTAAGTACGCCCCTGAGAATCCAAAACGGGCGTAAAAGTGGAAGCCCCCCAGGAGGAGAGTTTATTTTTTACAAAACCCGGAGTTGCTGTCTCGGGTGGCCGCCTCAGGGCAAGGCCCAGCGTTGGGACGGACTGACGGTGTCCTCGCAGTCCGTGTGCAACTCACTATCTGAGAGATGACGTTGGCTTATACGTAACTATGGTATGATTGGGAATGTTTTAACTAAGGTCACCTACTGCGGGAGGCACTTAAGTGACCCTTCAGGAATTGCGAACAATTGGGCACGCGCGTGTTCACGCATGTGTGTTTTTGGTCCAGAGGTTTACGGTCATCCCGTGGGCGTATGAACTTGGAGGCAGCCCACATCGACAAAGGAATTATTGTTCGCAGTCGGTTGCAGGCGCGATGTTGCTGGTATATGTCTAGGCTAGACTCTTAAGAAGTACTGATAACCCGCAGCATAAGACATCTTCATATTTATGTACTACAATAGTAAGGCAACCTTGAGCTTGTGATTAGATATATATTTATACCTCAGTTCGTCTTCGTAAACTCGGTTCAGGTTCCGTGTGCTGTTAGTAACCTAAAAGTCACTTATATCTTAAATACTGTGTGCTTTCCCACCTGATCACAGCACCGGTCAGTAGAATGAACCCTTTTTTGTTCGCGATGATTCAAGTCATTCTGAAGTATGGTGGGTAAAAGAGAAAGAGCTGATAAAACACACCTATCTGCGCAGTGATCGAACTTCCTTCATCCTCTTCTCATGCGAGTACCAACTCGTAGACAAAAGTGAAAAAATGTACCTTT